AGTTTAAGGTAGACTTCAAAGTCTCTTATAGTCAGACATGTAAAGGAAGTACATGGATGAGGACTAGCCATTCTTTGTTCCCGACACTACTTTCCTGGTGATGCTCTAGTCCTTGTTTCTATTTGCATTTTTATGTATATGCTTAGATATATATTGACTCCTTTTACGCACAGTCTCATAACATATAATAGGAACCATAGTTCAAGGACCTAGACAAGACAAAGAATGTTTGGGATATGAGATTCCAAAAGTGCTGGTGATGAGGAAGTGCAGACAATAGGTAGTATTAAGAACAAATTGAGGATTCTTGTTAAGTTGTAATGTGAAAAGAAAAGGGGGGAGATCATGACATGTATAGAAACTTTTCAAAAAATAGATTCCATTTCTTAATATGCAAATGACTTAATGGTCAAAATTTTCAGAATTTGCCTTTCTAATAATAACTGTTGCTGGTGAATTATGGGCTATGCATGTATTATCAAAGAAGTATTCACTTATAAGCTCTCACATTACATCTAAGAGTCCTAAAAGAACATTACAATATCCAGGAGCAAATGCAGATGGAATAAAGGATATATGTAAGGACTACAGAATCACCACCATGCTGCTGCAGGGGGAATGGTAGCCCTGGCACCCCAATCTCATGCTACAATACTACATATCAGGAGCACATATTTAACCAGTCCACAAGTTCTTTGGTAAATGAACTCTCATTTCTGGACAAGCAGAATATTCCTGACTTATATACCCAACTTTCCCAAATACCTGACACTACTCTACTTAAGTGGGGTAGTAGCAGCAGAATAGATCCCAAATCCTAGCTTCTTGGGTTCATGCTATCTTCTGCTTCATTTCATGATCTCAACTGAATATATAGCTCAGACCACCAAGTATTGTAACCTATGTATTTACTGAAATTGAGATAGTGATTATTTTTTGTGTTGCTGATGCTGAAAAGATTAAAATTTTGGTACTCATGAGATTTGTTTGGCTGTTTATAATAACCACTCCCCAGTGTCCTTCAGAGACAGGCAAACATTCTCAGCTAATGCAGACACCAGGAGGAGCAGGTGAAGCAGCTCATCCTTACTCTTCTGCTTCTCTGAATGGTTTATGTCATAACATGTAGGAGGAATATTATAACCTTGCTGACAGAAATAAGTGCCAGAATCATCGGCCTCCAGGCTGCTGATTGTGAGAGAATACTGTGTCCCAGACACCTTGCCACTGAACCTAGATGGGACTCCCTCTACCAAGCTGTTTGCAGCATAGATCAGGAGCTTAGCAGATTTCTCTGTTTTCTTCTGATACCATGATAATGCAGGATAAATGTCCTCACTAGATTTGCAAGTGATGCTGACTCTGTCTCCCAAAGATGCAGACAAGTAGGATGGAGTTTGTGTCATTTGGATGTCACATCTGCCACCTGCAAGTAAAATCACAAAATTAACCTGATTAGTTCAGTCAGGACTAATCACATTGGTCTAAACAAATGACCATTGCTGTGCTTCCTTACCTGGGAACCAGAGCAGCAGGAATACCAGGAGCTGAGTGTGGAACCCAATGTTCATTCTGTGATCTTCTCAGAACTGACTACAACATAAATTGTGACAGCCTTATGAATAAGTCCTCAGGGCAGTGGGCTGTGTTCTGAGCACATGCGAATCACCAGTTCAGTAATTCAGCAAGAGAAAAGGGCCCCCAAAACTTTAAG